TGTGAAAACTTGTATCTTATTTGTTTAATTATTGTGACAATCCAATTCTACATATTTAATCAAATGGCCACTAAAAATGAATGCTTGATGTTCGGAGTTTTCTAGACTCTTGGACGAATGAATATGGATTCGTACAGAAAAAGGATCGTGCTGTATGTGTGTATGTCGCGAAACTGTAGTATGTCACACCTAAAGTATACAAAAACGTTTTTAAACTGAACTATCAATCCCCATTGCTGAATTCTGATCAGAAATGTAAAGTTATAAAAAGAGCTGTTACTGGATATATGAAACAAGTTCCTTTTTTTTTTTTTTTTTTTTTTTTTTTGTCAAACAACTGGAACCGAAGCGACTGAAGGCAGTTTCGTAATGGCTCATTGTGTAGCTGTCAAAGGCAAATCTTTCACAGATGGCGAATATATAAAGCAAAATATTTTAAAAAGTGTTAAAATATTGTTCAAGATTTACCAAATCTACAAACAATATTATCCCGAATTCAAGAAAGACCGGTTTCTGCGCGAACTTATTGAAAGACGAATAACTTTAATGGCAGGAAATATAGCAACAAAACATAATTCTGGATTACACGAAACTGTTGCATTTAGAGTTATTCTTGATGAAAATACCGATGTGAATGATGCTGCGTGCCTTGCAGTAAGTGGCAGGATATTATGATAACGATCGAGTTGATGTAGAATTACGCAGCTCGATTCCTCTGCTGGGACAACTAGAGAACATGATATTCTTTCTTTATTTATAAATTATTTTGAAAGTCAAAACATTAATATGAATAAAATATTTTGTTCAACTACTGATAGCACTCTTGCAATAGTTGGCAAGGAAAGAAGATTTGAAAATCATATTGGATATAAAGTATCGAACTTTCATTGCATAATACATCAGGAGAGTTTAGTTACCAAAATTTCGTCACAGCGGTTAATTTCTGTAATCAACACTGTTGTTAAAATAGTTACTTTCATAGTGTCCCGTCCTTCACCGGTACACAGACTATTTTAATCTCTTTTAGATGAAATGGAAAGTGAATATGTGGATGTCCCCTTATACAGCCATGTCCCGCTGGCTTAGTCGGGGTAATGTCTTGAATAAGTTTGTGTTACGCATGGAACACATTAAAGTTTTTCTTTAAATGAAAAGAAAAAAATATTTCCCCAAATCGGACGATAAAGAATGATTATGCAAATTGATGCTTCTGATTGATATAACTAAACATCTGAATAAACTAAGGATTGCAAGGAAATGCCTAAACAGCGAACATTTTGAATATTAGAAAGTCTTTGCTACAAAATTAAATACATTTTCTTGTGATATTAATACCAGTATTTTCAAATACTTCCCAAATGTTAAAGCGCTTGCAAATACATCGACCGTAGACAAAGATGAACTTCAAACCTATGTCGAAGCACTTTAGGAGGAATTTTCCAAAAGACGCAAAGACTTTTATGCCTATATTTGGCTTCTTAATCAAACCAGGTTTAACAGACCCATTAATAATCCCAACCGATTTCACAATTTTTGAGTGGATGAAACCTTATAATTTTGTAATAGAACTTATTAAACTAACATATAAAGAATTATGAAATGCAAAATTTACGGAATAACGAAAAAAATCTTGAAGATAATTGTAACGATGAATCGACAGCTATTTGGAATTGCTAAATGTCATTGCCCGAGAGATTTAATTGCAGAATCACGTGTAAAATTGAAAGTCACAAATTATACCCCTGATATTGGGATATTAAGCAGAGCGATGGAGGGACAAGGTCCGCATTAAAATTTTAATTGTTTATTGAAGTATACTGAAGGAATACTTATATTTCATGTTGTTTATCTTTTATTTTAATAAATATGGCAGTATACAGCTCACGTAAGAGCTGGGAAGCTGTAGCAGTCCTGTTTTCACCGAGTTGACAGTGCGAAATAACGTAGTCCGAATAACATTCGTCGTTGTGGATCTTGTTCGACCTAATCTAGGTCTTCTTGATATGAATCCAGTGTCCTGAAACAGCTTCCATGAATTGCAGGCGAATCTGGGCATTACATTGGTGTCTGTAGCCACCTGCGCTTGTGATTGGCCTAATTCCAATCATCTACAAACAATTTTCCATTCATTCCATCATGCATAACGTTCGTCTCTACTCATTTTACCTGATACCTTATAAAACTTACCAAACTCTTCCAAGAACGCGGCGAAATGTTGTGAAGAACTACGAGCACACAAATTGCCGAAAACCCCTCTTACGTTCATATGCTCTCCACAATCACAGCTCCGCAGACACGCACTTGCACACTTACGTATTCGACTCTGAATATTTGTATAATTCTTCGGCGACATAATTAGCAGCTTTAATTCAATACCTTTTGTAAAAGCAGACATAATTTGCAAATTCACTTAAGTTTGCACACACACTAATTTTTTTTTTTTTTTTTTTTTTTTTTTTTTTTTTTTTTTTTTTTTTTTATATTTTATTTTTTTTTTTTTTTTTTTTTTTTTGTTTTTTTTTTTTTTTTTTTTTTTTTTTTTGTTTTTTTTATGCAATAATTTTTTCATTAAAATTTTTTGTGCTTTAAATCAATACCAATTTAAACTGCCCATTAAAAACTGTTATTGGATTCAATTAATAAACGACTTCTGGTTGCCCAGTTTTACTCAAAATCTAATTAACTCTTTTAACTTTGAATGCAGAAAAGTTAAAACATAGAAAAAATAATTGTTGGAAGTTTCGTATAGCAGCTATTACGGAAGAAAAACTCGCCAACCTCAGACAGGCAGAGAGACGTACAAACAGATAGATATCATTGTAAAAACAGTAAAAATGTGCTGTCGGCACTCTACTTCGTGCTGATTCACTGAAAGCCCACTATCAAATTTTTCGAACGAAAACATTACATATTTTACCTGTGTATATATGTTGGTGGGAGGTTAAAAAGATGAACTTACTATTATGTCCCTTTCGGATGTCACCTTTTGGCTTGTTTCTTGCCGATCGACTACTTTCACAAGATCGAGTGTCAGGACTACTACCTCCACTGCTGTTGCGACTGCTCACACGTACTGAAAAAAAATTCTTATGTAAAAGCACCATTTATAATAGTAATTTTGCAGTTATATTAAGAAAGAGAAAAGCTAGAGGTCGGAAAAACGGTTATGGCATTTATCATTTATTTTATTTTTGTGGCAATTAATATGAGCATTCCTTCTTCATGATAAAAAATAACTATTTAGAGTAAAGTGATTTTTTATAACTCTAGCTTACAAAACAGTAGAATAGTCTAAGGCAGGGCTTCTTAAACCTTTTTCAGACGCGACCCCTTTTTATCACTGAGATTTTTTTCGCGACCCCAGGACGCCATAATACTTACGAAAATTTTGGGGGACCCCATAAGCATTGAGTTAATCAGACACACACGTGAGTGAAACTGTCAATTTTTTCACTTGTACTGTAATATACTATTGCAGTTTTAGGTCATTAACTTTAATTTCTAATTTTAAGACAACAATATGAAAATTTTAAATAAATAAAAGACGAAATGACAGCGCAGGTGCAAAGCAAGTAAAATGAATGTTTATTTTATAATGAGAATGCGTCGAAACGCTTTCGGTTTTTTTTCTTTGTCTGTATTGTCTTTATCTATTTTTCAGATGCCCTGAGTAAAAAATATTTGGTAACTGTAAAATTATTATAATAAGTTAAAGAAATATCAAAACTACTAAAATGTTTGGCCACCCTTTTTTTTTTTTTTTTTTTTTTTTTTTTTTTTTTTTTTTTTTGTTTTTTTCTGCTGCAAGTCCTGCGAACCCATGGTGGTCGCGACCCACTTTAAGAAACTCTGGTCTAAGGAAAGAACATGCTTTCAGCTACCACTTCATTCAAGCAAATAAAATTGTTTTAGTTTAAAACTATTTGTTGTTTAAAACTAAACAATTTTGTCTGCTTGAATGCAAAATGCTTCTTTTTTTCAGAGGCAACAAATAATATTTAAATAATATTTGTTATCTCTGAAAAAAGACTTGAAATATGAAATTTCTCACCATGTCTCATTTTCTTTATCACAGAAATGCCAAAATCCTTAACTTTTCTATTTTAATAAAAGTGAAAAGTGAAAACTTAATTAAAACAAGTACCCATACTTTGATAGGTTACTTTTATGAACAAATTGGGGAAAATAAGATTCAGTTTTGGAGCATAAATTAAAAAATGTTTTTTTCAAGTTTGATCTCAGCTGCGTTTAAAGCATCAGGGTATTTGGTACGTAAGAAATGTTCTAGTGGGGATCCGAAGTTTACCAATTTGGGATACTTGCCTTCAATAGGGACTGGGTTAATAAAGAATTTGTATTTAAATGTGAACCTAACTCGTGTTTTTAAAACTGTGTAAGGTATTTATTTTAAGTAGCCAATTATTATGATTTAAGCTTTTACGTAACTTTTTTTCCGTATTCCTCTAGGTTTTTGTTGGGTATTTACGTTTTGAGTGTTTCATCGAGAGCCTGGCAGCCGCGTTGCTGTACTTAACTGTTGTCAACTCTATTTAAATTTGTATTCGGCTAGCGTCTTGCTACAGATGTTCTAAATACTCTTCGGCAAATTATGAGTCAAGCTTGATTAGAGTATTTATGGCACCCGATACAATTCCCACAAATTGGGGGGGGAAGGCTCTTCAGGAAGAAAAAAAAAATTGAAAATTTTCTATAGAGAATTCTGTCCATAAGTGTAGTGTAAAGGGAAGCAAATTGAATTCACTTACAATAAAACAGTGTCTCCCATGTATATGTAGTAAATGTGTGTGGTAATGAGATGGAGAGAAAGACGAAATAGGCAGAGTTGAGAAGAGATGCTTTGCTTCAAAATATTTTGCACCCATGGAACGGTATACACACCAGGGTACCTAGGTGTGAGACCTTACCCTTTAATCGAATAGAGTTGTAACAGTTCAGGCGTGGTGCCATGCATTTAAATCTTCACGTGTAATTACGTGGTTATGTGTTGGCAGTTAGAACTTGCTTGCTTCAAATTTGATATTATATATCACCCTGGAAATAAAAATGAAACTGCAGATACTTTATCAAGAATAAATGCAGCTATAAAACCACAAATAGATCTAAAAGCACTACATGATGAACTTTGTCATCCCGGAATAACTCGAATATATCACTGCATAAGATCTAAAAATTTGCCTTTTTCAGTAGAAGAAATTAGAACTGTTAATTCATGTGTATGCTGCAGTGAAGTAAAATCTCGCTTCTATAAATCTGAAGGACACTTGATCAAAGCAACTGCACCTTTTGAAAGACTAACTATGGATGTCAAAGGTCCTTTGCCTACGGCTTCGAGGAACCGTTTCCTTCTTACTATTGTGGACGAGTTTTCAAGATTCCCTTTTGCAATAACTTGCCCTGATATGTCATCTATTGTTATTGCTCATCTGCAAAATATTTTCTCAATTTTGGGGATGCCAGCCTACGTACATTCTGATAGAGGATCTTCATTTATGTCTCGTGAATTAAAATGCTTCTTGACTTCACTTACCAAGTGACTCACACAACTGCATATAATCCTCAAGGAAATGGCCAAGTAATGAGGTATAATGGAATCATATAGAAAACCATCCAGCTGGCAGTAAAATCAAAGAACATGGTTATCGAACGTTGGAAAGGTGTTCTGCAACCTGTTTTGCATTCGATCCGATCACTCTTATGTACAGCAACGAATGCCACGCCACATGAACATATGTTCATCCATGTTAGAAGATCATGCAATGGACGTTCTTTACCTACGTGGTTAACACAATTCGGAACAGTATTAATGAAGAACCATACACGAGCTAATAAACATGAGCCTCTTGTGAAGGAAGTGGCTAACCCAGATTACACTTGCTTTAAACTTCCAGATGGTCGTGAAGCCAACGTTTCAATACGATATTTAGCATCCAGAGGAGATACTCCTATACATGCCGATAATATCGGGTTGGATGAAAACCAACAACTTTCAGATTCTTTTGCTCAACAGAACGAAGGTCTGGCCGCTGAAGCTCCTGAACCCGTATCAAAAACTGTAAGAAAATTGACAGAAGATGATCCCCAAGGCAGTGATGTACCGTGCTCTAGCAGACATGAGAATTTTGAAAAGACTTCAAATGAAAACTTGCATGAGAGTAAATCCTTGCGTCCGAAAAAGTAGAGACGTCAGCTTTATTATTTGGCAGACTATGTAACTTATTAATAATTTTAGGGAGGGGTGATTGTGGTATAATATTTAATATTGTTGGCAGTACTAAAATTATATTACATGGAATGGCAACAGTCATGGTTAGTTTAAATATTGTTCTTACAAAGTAACAATTGTTTTATGTGCAGTTTTAATTGATTAAAGCTTCATTTTAGCTTCTTAAGGAAAGTGGTTTATCACATTTACAACACAGGAGCAGAATACATGTAATAAAAAGAAAAACTCATACTGGCATTACATGATTATCTCAAACCGTTCTTTGTGATCAGATCACCATTCATCGCTTGTCGTTCCAGCTACAATGGCCTGACCGGCTTCCGAAACTTTGAGGATGCCACAGCAGTTTGTCTTTCAACTCAAAGTAATTTAAATACCAGTCTGGATTGGTTAATGCGTGGGATATCAACACGTCCTTCAAAGGGGCCTGAGATAAACTATATGAGAGGAGGAGCTGATATAGGAAAGAAGGAGGGACAGAAATGGAACAAAGAAAAGAGAGAGAGAAAGAAAGGAATAGCTGGCCATAAGAATGAATAGGAGGCTAAAAACTTGAGAATCTAGCGCAAATGTGTTCAATATTTTGCATAATCACAAGACTTTTGTTAGTATTTACTCATGAAAAGTTGGAATAAATGAGCCCCCAAAACAGGAGCAGGGTAATGTGTAAGAATACAAGTATGTAACTGCGTGGTGAAGAAAAGCTTTGGAGGAGTAGAATAATGAAACGAAGAAAATTGTAATAGTGAAGAAAAAGTATCAGAGTAATGAAACACGGGGACATTGAGTGGGTACGGAGAGCAGGCATTGACAAGAGTTGAAGAGCAAAATTATTTTAAAACGGGTAGTAAAGCTTAACTAAGATATTTACCTTTTCGGAGTTTTGCCTGTCCTCAATGCAAGATGTTGATGGTTGCTAGTGGGGGAGTTAAAATCCCAGTTGTAAGTGATTTGTCAAGAAGTTCTATCCCTTTCCTAGGTATTAAAACGGGCGAAGAACTCCCGGCCTTGAATGAAAGGAATGATAGGTCAGTTTTAAATGCCAGGAAAAAATTCAGTGAAAAAAATGAGTTAAGCTGCAGAAAGGGGGTGGGAGAAAGATCATAAGAAAAGTTAAGAGAGACAGAAGGAGGATGGTGGGGAAAGGCGTAAAGGTAGTTTACAGCATGCTTTATGAAACTGCAGTCTTTGGCGAAGTCTCCTATGGGTTTGGGAATAGGTGACGAAGTGGAATAGAGTCTGAAAGGCAGATAGAAGGAGATCTAGTATTGAGAATATTTTAAAGACTGCTCTTGGGCAAAGAATAAAGTGAACAGTAAAGGAGGAGATGCTCGAGGGTATATGGAGCATTGATAAGGAGCCAAAGGGAGAATCTATTTTATTAAATTTTAAAAAAATATCACGAGTTAAAATAGCATCCGCTGTAAAGCGGCGAAGACAGATGTTAACTTTCTTCTGGTGGGAGTGCTAGTAACTTTTCGGAAAGGGTAATTGAAGAAGGAGGCCGCTGAGGTTTAATTGAAATTTACAAATTCTACAAAATAAAATTCTAGGAGAAATTATCAATGCTTCTTGCTATATTCCAAACATCTATATTCACAGAGACTTTCTAATCGAACTTATTCAAGAGTATATTAAACGATTTGCGGTCAACTTCTTTTATTCTGTACAAACCCACAGTAATAGCCTTATTGGCACTCTCAGACACTCACCGCATCCCAGAGAAAAACATCGGTACCCATGTGACATCCTACCCACATAAGAATTACAACCTTAATTGAATCATTCACGCTAAACTGACTCTGCGGTTTACCACCCGAGGCTACATCTTATAACGACACTGAACTTACCACCACCCCCTTTTTTTCGCCGCCGCTAGTGCGGACGTTCACTCTCTTTTTTTCCGCCTCCCACACTTCCTTCCACCCACTCTTTCTCCTCCTACCCAATCATTATCAGAAGTCGAGTAAAAAGATGTTTTTTCATCTTGACACTCTAGAATAAAATACTATCTGTGTTGTTAATTGAAACATCTTGGAGAAAAAGAACAAGGGATTTTTTAGTATGAAGGAAAGAGGACGGAAGAGTGATAGGAGTTCCTGTCGGATATCCAGCGAGTTGATCCGCCTCCTCATTGCCTACGAGGTCAATGTGGTAGGGAATTCATTGAAACTTGACTGATTTGCAGAGACTATTGCAAGTCTAAATAAGGAAATGAATTTCAGAGATAAGTGTATAAAGAGAAGAAGGGAATGGAAGCCGCTAAAAGGCTAATAGGCAAGATTTAATGCAGCGAGAGTGGTTAGAAGAGGAGAACCAGAAAATTGGCTCACGTGTGGTGAGATTTGTCTTGCAGTACAAAATGTTTTTGAAAACCTAAGTTTGGGACACCGAGTGCTGCGCCATTATGAGTTGGAGTAAGCGAGCTGTCGGTGAAGATGGTAATGGATTCTGAAGGTTAGCTAATTTGTCCGTGAAAGAAGTTTGGCCAAATAAGCTAGAGAGGATTTAGAAGGAAGTACGAGTTGGTCTTAAGTCACTAGTAACAATATCCTTGGATTCTATCTCTTTGGCTGCATACTGATATAAATTTAGATTTATAGTTCTTGTATAATTTGTAATTTTTTTCCTAAAAATATTCTTAAAATAATATTCATAAAAATTTTTAACATGCCCTCCTGAGAAGGACAAAATAATATTTTCTAACAGAAGCACTCCCGAATCTTTATTTTAAGTGTAACCAATGAGCCCTACGTTTCACTTTGGATGTAACTGTAACTTTTTAGTAAAAATTTCTTTTTGACGATTGGCAGCATGGCATGACGAAAAGGGCATGCAAGTTGAATTTATTGTTTTTATCTGTGTTATTCAGAAATTTTGTTACAGAAAAGAAAGTTCTTTTGTGAACCTAAATTTCGCGGCAAAATCTAACATTTTCATATGGTATGCATCTGTTTAGTTATTGTTTGCAGTATCAGGTAATGGAATATTCTGCATTTATTAAAAAATGTAATGAAAAGTTTCGTTTGTTAGCAAGTGTAGTTGTATTTAATTTTGCCCATTTTAGTAGAAATTAAGTTAATTTATTTGAATTGTAACTATTACTTACTTGCCTTTGTGTCGATATCGTTTTTTTAATCAAGGTAAAAGAGTAAATAAGGATTACGTTCGAGATAATTTGATTTAACCCTTAACCACACACCTTGGGTGGATGCGAAACATCATTTTCTTTCCTTCTTTCTTTCTTCGAACTTTTCCATCAGTTGTTATCTTTTTAGCCTATGAATTTGTAGTGGATCATTTTTAATGTAAACCTGACATTGTATTTTCTGTATTAATCGGAATATCCGTTCAGACACCACATATGAGTTAACGTGAACAAATTTCAACCTCTTATTTAAAGCATGTATTTTTTTTTCAATAGAAACTTATCAGTCGTTTATTTTCCAATTTTTCAAAACGGCAAGGAGATTAGATCCAACAAACGCTCTTTGATTAAGTATGAGTATGAGATATTGTTAATAAGAGCCCTGTAAGACTTACTACCTATTGAGAAAAATAACCGAAATATAACAGTGGACAGTTGGTTTGTGTCAGTAGAATTGAGTGAATAACTAAAAGAACATTGAAACTCTCAAGAACCTTTGAAGTAAATAATTGTGAACTAATGCAGTTTAGACTGAAAAGCTTGCAGTCGGATCACTTTACTGTGGATTTGAAGAAGGGATAATCTTCACATTGTTTCCTTGGAGAAGGGAGCTATTTGTTTGTTGTCTACTAAGCGTAATAGCAAAAATATTACCTCAGGAAATAGGAAATTTGAAATGATTAATGTTTGTAATCTGAGTAAAGTTTGAGTAGACATGCTTGATCTAGTATAAAGTATTCTTTAGTTAGAAGAACTAGGCATTTGTATATGATTATTTTTAATACCTTATTAAAGATGGATTATTATACACTAAATTGTATGATAATCGAGTTAAAGCTAGACAAAATATGATGTGTTGAAGAAATTCTTATATGCTTGAAAAAAATTTCTCTCATGGAGAAGTGCTCCTATTTTTTGAAAAAAAAAGTCATGAATTTTGTGCTGTAATTAACAAATAAATACTTTAAAAAAGAATAAATAAATGTGAAAATCACATTGTTTTCACTGTCCTCGGGGAAAAAAATAAATTCCAAATTTAAATTTGTGTATTAAGTAAGTAAAAATAATATATGTGTGTTCCTTATTGATGCAGTGTAGGGTGAAGTCTTTATTTGAATATTTTTTGGATAAATGCATTTGAAAAGAATAGCTTGGAATAGGCA